ACAAAGGTCTGCAGCTATTCCTTTTTTTATAGGAACAGCCCACATATCTCTCCGGCTTCCCTTCCATTTACCTTACAGATATAGCATCAACAAGTGCAGGAATGAGGCTAAAATAATGTTTATTTTGAGAAAACTGTGCAACACTCCCACTTTCTTTATTCCTGACATATCAAATGATGAAATACTATCAAAAGCCAGAGTTTACAACCATTTTATCTTTTTGTATCAATCTGATGTCTTTTTATTTTGATTGCTTTCAAATAAAACCCACCAATAGCTCAACTCCAATTGTTGTTCCCTGGCTTACTCGATTATTTTTACATTCAATAGGACCACATGAAAATAAAAGGTTGAGAATGTTTCTATTTGTCAAAACTGTAAAAGAACACGTTCAAAAATTGTCTTTTAAATCAAAATGTTAACCGACACCCTTCAATCCCTCCCTGCTCACCAGATAAAGTCGGTGCAGTGGCTGCAGAAGGTGGGCTGCTTGAAGAAGCGCGCGATGAATTTGTGGTCCTTCACCTCGTGCACGTTCTTCTGACGGAGGGCTCCCTGGCGAGCGAAGCCCCGCATGGGCTGGCGGGGTCCGTCCTCCCCGTCGCTGTTGGCCGCCGCCGAGTCTGCCATTCTCCGACCACCTGTGCTACCTGTTTCTTTACCTCTACTTTACCGAACCAACGCGAGCTGCTGGCGTCTCGAAAGCGTTTTCCGCGGCTAAGAAAGTCGTTCCTCTTGACGTTTCCGGGTAGTGGGATTCAAAAAATTGTGTCTGAAAGTTATCTTTCGGTAGTTTGTTGTTTATGGTTGTCTAGTTTGCCGCCGTACTCTCTCTGAGCTTCCTCCTTTTCTTGTCAGCGCTCAGAGTGAGTACCAGAAAGAGAGAGGGAGAGAGAGAGTGAGAGAGAGAGAGAGAGAGAGAGAGAGAGAGAGAGAGAGCGAGAGAGAGAGAGAGAGAGAGAGAGAGAGAGAGAGAGGACGCTTTAACTGTCTTACTTTTCCTTGACATTCAATGAAGTGTCATTTCAAGAGTCTAAACTATAAAAGCTCCATTATCTCCACGGTGTCTACTTGAAAATTGCAGTTTAATTACCTATCTAAATTTTATTCTTTTTTTAAACTTCAAAATACCATAATTTCCTCAGCACTTTAGTTCTTTCTGTACTTCACAAAGTGTTTTATGAAATGAGATTTTTTTCCCCCTATAAACCGTCATGTTCCTCTGCTCTTCAAAAGGCAATTGTAAATTGCAGATTTTTATGGCTAGTTTGAAATTTTGTTTTAACTGATTTAATTTATATGCCTGTCTAATGAAATCAACCACTGAAGTTTAGGTTGATGTGTGTTACTTAGTCATATAAGTGGGAGTGAAATTGATGTCATTATGTTGCTTTTTGTGTACTTGTTATTGAGTAGTTATCAAAATCCTTACTTTTACTGCATAACTTTTTGTGGAGGGTAATTTTCTTCTCTACATTTCACAAAGCATCAGTTACTAAAAAAAAATCACTCAACACATCAAGCTTTCCATCAACATAATGACAGCCAGGTGATTGGACTGAGATACATCTGTCTGGATGTTGGTCCAAATGTCTCATTATACAGGCTGCACTTTCCTGGCAGGTCCAAACTTATTTTGAGACATTTAAAGCCAAGAGCATTAAATCTTGCTTAGAGAAATCAACAAAATTTCACTTTTGTTACATTTGAAGCCCACAAAGTCCTTGTGTTATTTTCTTGTGATATCTGGCCTCTCCATATTGACTGGAGTGTGCATGGACCAACTACAAAGTACACTTCAGGACAAAAGATGTTGCAAAAATATCAAACAACTTCACCGTTGATAGGTAAGGAGTCAAAAACACTTAACACAAAGGTGCATTGTTATATTAAAATGATCAGTTTGGGAAAATGTGCTTTTGTATAAACTGTGTGTATAGCTTACTCCCAACAACTCCACCACCATGACTAATAAAGTACCGAAGTACATTTAATATGCAGTTCTTTTGGCTTTTACACAAGTAGATAAATAGATTGGTAGTTTTGCTTCTACTTAAAGCTCCTGTGAGGAACTTGTGTTAATGTTGGTGCCCCTTGTGGACACAGCACTCTTAGCTTATATTGTCCTCTGCATGCTTATGATGTGATCATAGACTGTATATAGAATGGATGCTGTCTGCCTCCTAGCTGGGTGAAGCCACTGCGAGAACAGCACCCTCTGGTGACGGGCTGCAGTATAGGTCAGAAATCCCGCCTTCTCCAGCAATCCTTATGGAGCTGTGGACAAACTTAAGGAAATTTATTACACAGAATATAATTTTTTTCTCCCCCCTGGTTGCAATGTTGGCATGTAGTTACTGTCAGATTGGTTTGTGCTCAAATCCTCTTTTTTCTGTGCAGCTCCTTTGTTAAGTTATTAGGAGGTTCATGTTTTCTATGACTGACATTTGATACAGCCTTCGGTTGTATGAAGATCGTGTAGCTCACCTGAGGGATACGCTGTTTGAGCAGAGTGCCATCACAGCGACTCTCCTGCCAAATGTGTACAACACTACTGCGTAATGTTGGTTTCAGGACGTGGAGAGAAAACGCAGAAATACCAAGAGCAATTTGGCCTCAAATTCATAATGTGACAAAAGGCAGAGCCAAGTTGTCCATAGTTAAACAGTCTATGGATGTGACCTCATCGCATGGTCAAGTGCCTCCCCACTTACCCCACCCCCTTACGCCAGTTTTAGTCATTAAAAATTACAGTTTAAAAAGCATCGGTCTTGTCACTGATGGTCTTCTTTGCTTTAGCACACAATTAAAAGCATCAGAATGAATGTCAGTGTATTTCTAAAATATATATTTTTAAAAAATCTACTCACTGTAGCTTTAGTTAAATGTAAATAATATAACTCTGATGTTACTTGAGTAGAATACACTTGTACTCTTTCCACTACTGAGCATGGTAAATTTACAAGAAACAAAAGAGAGGCATTATTCATGGATTGGTATATCCCACTAGAAAGTGATCCTCAGAGGTCTTCTATAAGTACCGGTTTATATAGTATTTATATAGCACAATAGCACTAGCACTTTTAACTTATATAACAGGGTTTCTAAATGCTGAAAATAAACCCAGAAAAAGATGGTCTCTGTCCAAATAATTACAGCTGTTACCTGCAAAATTCTCAGCCAAAGCAGCTGTCAGCCTGTTCTCATTTAACTGGTTGCACCAGTTAGCTGTAACATGTAGACACACAGAGGAGTGAGTGTGCAGGAAAATGTTTTAGTGTTTCTTGGCAACGGTCCTGTTCAAGTCAGGTTGTGTTTTTTATTTTATTTTTTTTATTTGTGTGTGTGTGTGTGTGTGTGTGTGTGTGTGTGTGTGTGTGTGTGTGTGTGTGTGTTGGCAAAGAAATGATTTTATGGACATAAAAACAATCAGAGACTGTTGACTATTTCCACTGCCCACATAGAAGTTTTGTATTTCAATAATAACACACTCAGGGTTGTGCTGTTTCAGTGAATATCAACAAACTGCAATTTTCTTTAGCACTTTGTGAAAGGGTATAGGCTTGTGTAAGGCTACAACCAAACCACAAAGATTTTTGGATTTAGTACAGCAGCAGTCCTTCTGTGGTCATTCTCCTTGACTTTTAATAGGGGATGCACTGGCAGACGAAATTGATAAGAAAAACAAAAAAACCCAAATGTAGCCAAAATCATGAGAAAAAAACTGAATGGCCACACAAGTCTGCACGGTAATTTGTTGTATTGTTCTGGGATAAAAGATGGCAAGGCTGCTCAATTATTGACAAAACCATAATTGTAGATATGTTAATTTATATTAAGATTACAGCTTTTGAAAACTATGTCTCATTGAATACACATTTCTGAATTTATAGCCTGGCCATCATTAATTGGTTCATTAAAGGGGCCATGAAAAACTGACTTTATTAACGGGAGGAGGGTGCATATCAGGGATAGAAAACCACTACAATCTCCCCAAGTTCGAAAAAATTCCATCCAGTCGTTTTTTAGTTATCTCCGTATTTAGGAACTGTGTGCTCAGAGCTGGCCGTTCTGAAAACTCCACTGACATGACGTCATGTCAGTGCTGGCGGGTTGATGGTACTGCCCATGGAGCCGCCCACTGCCCTGCCCCAAAAATTATCAAAACACTGCCATTATTCCCGGCCGCTCGCTCACATAGCTCCGGTTAGAACCATGGCGAAAGTACGATCTGAAAAAGAGGCAGCATTTGCTCTGTTGTTGGCTGCACAAACCAGCACAAAACTCTTTTGAAAACTCCCTCGTCGGAGGGGTTGAGGACTCAATGGGTGGATTTTATTTATAATGGGAACGTACCTGCGGCACTTCCAACATACCTCTATGTATGTGTGTACCATTTCACTTCGGACTGTTTTATCAACGAGGGACAGTTCAACGCTGGATTTGCTAGATGTCTGAAGATAAAGAATGGATCCGTACCAGCTATCTGTGATCCTACTACAAACGTGGCATCTGTAAGTGTGAACGTTTTATTTTGACTTACTGTTTAGCCTAAATTCCCCCCGGTGCCTCAGCACAGCCACCACGCTTTGATAAACACACCGGAACACTCCGCGCCGGTTTACCGGATCCTCACGTATTTTAGCCGCTCGCTTCTTCCCCGACAACTCCGGCGGCGGGGGACAAAATCCCCCTCCGGAGCAGCATGTAGCTTTAGCATTTACCCGTGCGGCAACACGCCTCTTTTGGCTCAAATACGGGACGTCCCGGCTAATGCTGGATGGTCGGCCATCCTATTAATTAGCAAAGGCTTCAGAGAAGTTTTAGAGCACCAAGATCTTACATCGTAGCAGAGCTCCGGTTGTAATTTTTTCTACATTCATATCTTCCTCCATAAGCGTGACCCTCCTGGCGGCTTTGAATAATACATAGGATGTGTCGACTAGGTCGCTTCAAGTCGCGTTTGGTCTGAACGCGGCTGAGAGTTTCTTCCGGAGCCTCTCCCTCTGGGTCAGACTCTGGCTCAAACTGGTAGGGTTGTACGAGTGATCTTCTTGCAGCCATGACCGAGCCAGTGTAAACATTAGCACATGGCTATCGGAGCACAGCCACAGCCCCTTCCAGAGAGATGGGTGTAAAGTGGACGTGGCTTAGGTGCAGCTCATTTCATTAAAGAGACATGGAGCCAAAACGGAGGATTTTGAGCGGCGCTGTTATTAGCTGATAAAAAGAGCACTAAAATAATTGATCCAAATCGAATTTTGACCGAAGGACGTCACAGACATGCTTTTAACACACCAGGGGACTATTTTAAGTTGTGTGAAATTGGCATGCCATGGGACCTTAATGTTTGTTACAGCCCCTTCCTCCTCATGCTCACTCTATTTCTCTGCTTTACCAACATACACTTGGTCCTGCTCCTCTCCTTAGCTTTGTTGCACTTCCATATAAGGGACATGATTTGGCTTGTTGTATTCTTTTAAATATTCAGCTGCATAATGTTTTGTAGCCTACCAGGGCAGTGCTCAAACTGGCCTTGGGCACGGCTCACTCTCCCCCTTACTGTCAATTAAAGTTGAGACTTGTTTGGGAATCCATTCAGCACAGAGGACAATAGGAGCACAATATGGTACCAGGTGTAGGTACCAGATGTGTTCGGGCTGCCAGATTGGCTCGGGACCAAGCGCCTGATGAAGACGTCACACTGCAGTAAGTCCACTCAGACAAACTACAATGCGCACCATCAGGTCAAATGTGCTTGGTTAAAAGCCCCTCGTTGTTTTCTTTATTTCTGTTTGTTCATTCAACTGACCTCGACTTTTCTCTCCGTATAAAGCAGAGAATTACAACTTACTGTACTGTAATTTTTAGATGGCTAATTGTATATGTTAACTTTTCTAAAGGGAAAAAAATTGTATGCAGGATCTCTATTTATCATTAGATAGCTTTGCTGATCATGGGAAACCAAACTCCACCACTCTCATTTGATTGATTATCAGGCCCTTTTTTCACTTCATGAAGTTCTATTTTCAACTCAAAGTGGAGAAACGGTTGGCATCAGGGTGGTAACAGTCATTGTAACCACTTTATTAAGATGGCCTTGTCTGAGACCTCCAGACTCAGAACCCCTTCAGTATGGTCCCTCGTGGATTACTGTCCGAAAGTGTTTTTTAAAAACACAAAAAATACATTACAATACAAAACAAACAAGATTTTACCCACTGAGAGCACTTGCAGAAGCAAGGACCCCAACAGGGTTTGACTGGATCTTGAAAAAAGAGGTTAGTTAGACTCTACAGTTTAAACCTCATCAGAGGCATATTACTTTGGCCAAAGGGCAGCTGTGGCTCAGTAATAAACACAAGGTTAGAATTCTGATTGGCTCATTATGATCATGACAGAGGGTTTGTCAAATCCCCCTCCAAGGCTTTATATTAAAGGTCCCACCCTTCACAAACATCATTTATGGGTTGTTGTACAAAAGGATGGGAAATATATGTCACACCACAGATAAGGAGGAAACGGTCCATCCTGCGTGTCAAGGTACAATAAACTGTTCTCAAGAGCAGCAACCTGATTGACTGAAAGAGCGGGTTGTACACCAGACAGATTATTATTCAACACAGCTGGTTATTACTCATGATTTTGCATGGGAAGAAGTTGACCAATCAATCCATCCCAATTTTCCTCTTTACACACAGGGTCTTTCTTGATCTCTATTTAAATAATATAGGTAATAATAAGGTGACCTGTATGGCTCTATTTTGAGAAGTATAGACTTTTAAAGTGTTTTTGAATTGGCCACTGGACTTGCTCACATTCGAACATAATTCCATGATGCATGCATGAGTGCTGGACTCGTGATTTCTCAGAACAGGTTATGTAAGTTCAGTAAATGGAACATCTGAGTAAACACCCTGACATTAGGAATATATACAGCCAACAGCAAACACAGAGATTCACTTCCAGCCTTTGAGATTGAAGTGTTCATTTCCAAAAAGAGATATCTCACATTTGGGGAGGGAATAAAACAAACTCTTTAAGTCTGAGTGCTGGCATTGAAAGCAAGCACAGTTGCTTCGTTGTGAGTCATCTTTAGAGTTTTGCTTTCAAAGGGATTTTGGAGGATCATCATCTAAGATTGTTGGATGAATTTCATGTCATGAAGTTTTTTTTTCCCATTTGCATTTATGATATTAGATTATATGACTTCCTGAGTCATCTGAGCAGCAAATATGATGCGTCATAGAGAGAGCCAAGGAGCCTGTTTCTCCACCTGCTTGTCTTCATATAGTAAGAGCAGAGGGATGAATATGTAAGGGGTAATAACACTGATGCAGGGATGGGGGTGAACAATTGGTGCTGTGAGTGTGAAGCTTCATATCACAGCTGACAGCAAATAAAATGGCTTCCTATTATCATGGAAAAACTAAAAACATATTGAGTGTACAACTGACAAATGACTAGTACTGATTTCGTGCCGATTTTGAGGCCTCATCTTAGGAAGCTGACAACTGGTCTATGCTTTGCACACACATACTCACACACATCATGTCAGTCAGCTGGCTGTGAATGACCTAGATGAGATTGATCTAACTGCAGGACAGATGACAGAGTGTGAAGTCACCCTGCTCTCATTCACAGAGGGTTTACTGTCAAAAGAACCACCAGCTCAGACCTCAGTTTTTAACTTTTGGAGTCTCTTTTACCTCACTGGTTTGGCCAGAAAACCTTTGACATAGCCTCACACATACCTGCATATTACATAACCGTCTGTCTCAATAGCTAGCGGACTGTAAAAAGATTTAAAAAAAAAAAAAAAGCATCAAGTGACACTGGTAGTGACGTTAGCGCCTGAGTGGGCCTGAGTGTATGTATAGGCTCAGAGATGGTGACCCATTGTTTCCCACCTAAGCTGCTGATCTCTCTCAATTTAATCAATATGCAGGTGCTGATGCAACTAATCCCCTGAGCTATCGAACTAGGGCAAGTGTCTGCAGGCAGCACAGCATCTATGTTCAGTAAGATGTAGCTGACAGCACACATGCCAGTGGTTTTATTGTCCCTGAAATCATGTCAGATCATTTGTGAAATGTTGTCTTTGTACAGACCTACTGAAGTTAAGAGGTTTGATGGCTTGCCGCCACTAAATACATATATCAAACAGCTCTTGGATCTCTGTCTTTTGCACTCTCTTTAAATACATTCATTGACCATATTAACGTGGCAGCCCCTGATGTCCCACTCCTGATAAGGAAGCTCAAAAGCTGTTATAGTGCCATTCCACCATGTTTGAGTGATAGTTCAAAATCTGGAAAGACATAGGGCCACATTTAAACCTCTTCCTGGCTGCGTTAACTTTTAAAAGGATTCAACATCTTTCGTTTTCTTACAGCTAGCGTCAAGCTACTTAGCTAACAAAAATCCTGCCATGACAATATTAAATTAACAGTAAATTAGCTTGACTGGGTGCTCACAACTGTTTTCAACCATGGCTAGTGGGCTAACAAATATGTTTTTCTGCCTTGAAATGGGGGTGGGGGGTGGGGGGTATCTCTCCTCCAGTTTTGAAAAATGAAATTGATGCAGTAATGTTAAAAGCTACAGTTCCTCCAGAATCCATGTGCACACTAATTTAAAAGAGACCATCATTACAGCAAAGTGTAACATGTTAAAAGGCTGGCTCAAAAACTGCTTTAGGTCTCATTAGCTCAGAGCCGTCTGGCTTACATTGAATGGGGAGGGAATTTTCTCATAACACTTTTGATTTGGATACATAAGGTTAGTAAATTCATGCATCAGAAGCACAGCTGACTTGACACACAGGTGGGCATACCGTAGCTGTTTACGAGGAGGCTAAGAGACCGCCTCTGGTAGGTCTTCTTGATTAGGTTGAGTCAGCATTTCCAATATGGCTGCCACCAACTAACTCTCTCTCTCTCTCTGAAACAACAAGATGACGTCACAGAGACTACACCATTTTATCATACAGTCTTTAAATACAGCACTAGGTTCCTCCAGCTGTCCTGTCCATTAGCTTTTCAGTAATGTGGATGTGAGGAGCTAACAGTTTTTGGTCCTTGCCAGTGCTAATAGAAGTTGTGGTTGAGTTAAGATGCTAAGGATACCATGCAAACATGCTGAAACTGACTATGCTAACTAATGCTAACCTATTTCAACTTATAAAAATCCTTCTTCTGCTAAGAAGTAAAATCAACAGCCATGCTCGTAACTTGAAAACTGTACTGAAGCTCTAAACAAAGAAAAAATAAGATAAGATAAGGAGAACTTCATTTGTCTTGAAGAGCTTAAGAACTTGATTTGTGCAAATCATGTCAGTGGCCTTTGTCTCCAAATCAAGACAACCAACACCCAATGATTTTTTTTTTTGCAGTCTCAAACATTACGGTTACTTAAGCTAACACAGCTTAATGACAGCTGTAGTTGGGCCAAAGTTCTGAGGTATGATTAAAACAGCACTGGTGTTCATAATGGCACAGAGAAATTCAGCCTAGGGCCAAAGCACTTTTTTACTATTACTAATGATCTGAGAACATAGTCAGTAAATAAATTAGCTCAATATTACTTTGATAGATGTTTTCTAAGGTTAACTGTAAAGCATTCTGGGAGACTGTTGGTACAGGAAAAAAATAATCATTGGGGGAAAGTAATGTCTGGAAATACAGTTGTGAATTGCAATCCAATCAGCCCTGTCTTTTCCACCTGCCTCTCTGCTGATTTCCATCCCTCTTTCTCATTTTACCTCTACGATGTCTGTCTCAGTTCTCCAACTCTCTCCACCACATCTCTGAGCATATTTCCTCTCCAGTCCCATGGCCCTTTTTCTCATCTTTTTCCTCTGTAAAGGGAGGCAGTGATTATATAAACCAGTTGTTTCCGTCATCCTGTGACTACAGTACTGGAACCTCTCTGACGCACAAATATGGTTATATACTCTCGCAGTAACCAAGCTGCATTGCTGTGAAGACATTTGACCACAACATTTTTTAATGATCAATGCCAGCTTGGCACAAAACAATGAGATAGATATACTCAGTCTTTTCCAAACTATTAGCACAACCACAACATTTTGAAGCCACGAGTGTTTAACAATTCAAAATACATTTGGTCCACTTACTCCTACACACTCCACATTCTTTGTGGCCTTTGGCAGCCAGTCTTTGGGTGAAAACTGTAAGTTCTCAAGCTCACTCACTCAGACGCACGCACGCACGCACGCACAAACACGCATGCACGCGCACACACACACACACACACACACACACACACACACACACACACACACACACACACACACACACACACACACA